AGAGATAGAGATGATAGAGATAGATACAGATACAGATATAGATATATGGAAGCCATTTAAATATGACTAAGGAGGAGCTGTCTACTCAAAGTAGAATCTACCTTAATAATGTGGGTTGAATAAGCTATTAGCAAGTGAAGGACATTTTCATGTTTGGTTAAGCAGAGGGTCAATGTAAAAGATGTAAATGTGATATGAACTGACACAGAAACTACAGCAATGGGTTTGAACACAGCAGACTGTGAGGACAGAGCAGGACTGGGAAGCAACTCTGTACACAGAGTTTACAAATCACATATGGAATATTTATTTCTACCTCTGAATACTTCCTTCTGCGGATCTCCCATTTAAAATTACTCTTTTCAGCCCGTAACCTATCCATTTGCTCTCCTGGATATCGATGGGATGTTCAATACTCTTCTCCAATATCACAGGTTAAAGGTTTCTTCTGTCATCCTTTTTAATTGTCCAGCTCTCAGATTTGAAAGGGCCAGAGGGAGTTTGATTAACACAGCCCCTCACTGCCCCAGGGCAGAAAGCAGACAAAGGCCTGTAGCCCAGCCCCATGGTGCCTCTAGAGCAACAACAGCAGCAAGAGGTTTATTTATTTGTTGCTGAATCACAGTTATGGAACCAGCAATGGGGTTAACTGGAGAAGGAAGGTGGAGAGTGGAGGAGGCAAAGAATGTCTCACAACACAAGTCCAGGTTTTAGTCCAACAGTTCGTGGGCACAATTCCTCAATTAGTCCAGTCTCTGGTTTCAGTTCAGCAGTCAAACCCAAAGCATCCAACAAGGTTTGCCTCCAAGCAAACAAGCATCCAGCAAGTTATTAAGCCAGCTTTCCCTTCAAGCATACAGCAAGAAAAGCATACACCTTTAACTGTGGCCTTTTTCTCAGGGCTCCTCTGCTTACCCCTTGTTACAGTTGCTCTACAGCAATGCCACAGTCTTTCTAACATTATCTCTAGGGTCTCCTCAGCAGGGTCTGCTCCAGTCTTCCTCAAGTCTTGCCACCCCATTTCTTAATTGCCTCAAGTCTTTCTCTTATCTTAGTCCACAGATGTCGATGATTTGCATGCAAGACCATGTGTTTTCAGTAGAGGCAGCTGGAAGCAGCTAATTGTAATGGCAAAAAAAATCCAACTTTTAGGCAAACACCACACCAGAACACTTAATTAACTGGGCTTATACAAAACTTAGACCAAGAAGCTGTTGTCCGAACAGAGCAAGAAAACACTGCATGACTTAAAATCAAGAAAGGAGTGAGTCAGGGCTTTATCCTTTCTCCATACCTATTCAACCTATATGTTCAGCAAATCATTTGAGAGGATGGGCTTAATGAGAAGAATATGGCATTAGGATCAGCAGAAGACTCATCAACAACCTACATTATCCACAGCAACAATAGCAAAGATCATCGGGGCACAAACAGCAAATGCTGGTGACGTTGTAGAGAGACTGGAACTCTTATTCACTGTTGGTGGGAATGTAAAATGGAATAGCCACTATGGAAGACGATCTGGCACTTTCTGAAAAAGTTAGAAAAAGAAATACTATTTGACCTAGCAATTCCACTAATGGGAATATACCCTAAAGAACTCTGAGCCATGACTCAGATGCACACCCATGTTTATTGCTACATTATTCACAATAGCAAAGAGATGGACGTAACCCAAGAACCCATCAACAAACTAACAGAAAACTATGGTACATTCAAACAGTGAACTATATTATACAGTACTGAAAAACAATGAACTCGTAAAACATTACACAACATGGCAGAGCCTGGAGGACACTATGCTGAGTGAAATATCTCAGTCACAAAAAGACAAATACTACACAACACTGCTGCTATAAAATAGGACAGATATGGGGAGGGTGGGGAGTGAGAGGGGAAAGAGTGGACAGATAGTGAACAATGCATTAGAACAGATGAGGGGGAAAATGTCCAAAAGGAATATATGATTAGCCATTCTATGTATGACAACAATCTGAACAAGGGATGTAAGTAGTTCAGGGCGGGATGGCGGTGAGTATGCAAAAAAAAATTGTGCAACAACAAATTTTTTTAAAAAAACAATTAAAAGGAAGAGACAGATATGAAAGTTAAAACAAACTAAAAACCCAACCTGTAGTATGCAGACAAAACAATTTACTTGTCAAAAGTGAAGAAGACTTAAACATTTGCTGAGAAAGATCAAACACTACAGCCTTTAATATGGATTATGTCTCAAACCCAAAAAGACCAATGTCCTCATCATTGAACCAACAGGTAACATCATGACAGATGGAGAAAAGACTGAAGTTATCAATTATTTAGTCTTGCTTGGATTCACAACCAAAACTCATGCGACCAGTGGTCAAGAAAACAAAAGACTTACTGTACAATGTATATATGATGGGGGATGGCAAACTTAATAAAAAATGTGGGGGAAAATATTTGCATGTTACAATGATTTTATAAAATACTACCTAACTTAAGAAGGACTGGAGAGCATTATGCTAAGTAAACTAAGTCCCGTAAGGACAAATACTGTATAAAACTATTATTGTAGAATGTGTATGAGGATCCAAGGGGTGGGAGCAGAGGAGTGAGGATGGGCAAAGGGGTTAATCGTAGGGTGACACACTTTGATGGGTGGAGGGAAGAGTGAGTAAAGGAAATGAAATAGATCTGGTGTGAAAAACAATGTGTACGTACTTTGTAAGTAAACCAGTATAAAAGAAAAAATTTGTTTAAATATAAAAATATTTGCATAATGCATTGGGTAAAACTGCTGTCAAGGATCTCTCTAAGGTGTTAAGGAGCAATGGTGCCACTTTAAAGACTAGGGTGGTGCATCTGATTCAAGACATGGTCTTTTCAATTACTTGTTATGCATCTGAAAGTTGAACAATGGGTAAGGATAACAGAAGAATGCATTTCTTTGAGGTGTGGTGTTGGAGAAGAGCACTGAATGTCCCCTAGGCTGCCAAAAGAACAACTATATCTTGGAGAGAGTGCAGCCAGGGTGCTCCTTGGAGGCAGAATGGTGAAGCTTATATTTACATATTTTGGGCATACTGTTAGCAGAGGTCAGTTCTTGGAAAAGGACATCATGCTTGGAAAGGAAAAGGTCAGCTAAAGAAAGGAAAACCTTCAGCAAAATAGATTGACACAATGACCGACGCAATGGGCTTAAGTAAATCAGAGATGTTTAGGATGGCACAAGATTAAGATGGTAAGGTTCAGATGCTTTGTTCATAGGGTCTCTGTGATTCATAGTCCATATTGCGGCACCCAACAACAACAATGTGTATCTGTCTATGTATAGGGTGGGGGACAGCTCACTCACCTTTCCATCAGGGAGCTCCATGTAGCCTTCTATATCAGAAGTATTTGTTTTGCCAAATCGACCCAGGTACCCCTGCAGCTTAAGACCAGTGAATGTAAAAGCCATCTCCCAGAACCTACAAACCAATGAGAAATAGACAACTCTGTCTCAAAGAAAGTTTGCTAAGTTTTGTTTAACTATGAAACAAGCACTTACATATTTGTCATTTATTATTTTATTCACATATTTAATTAATACTAAGTTTTTAAACTTAGAGAACACTGGTAACCTAGTGGCAAAGAAGCCAAGCTGCAATACTGAAAGAACGCAGTTTAAACCCACCAGCTGCTCCATGGGAGAAGGATGGGCAATCTCCTCCCATGCTATTAAGTACCTCTGAAAACCCTCTGGAGGGATAGCTATGGGTTGGTTCCGACTCCATGGTACATAACAACATTTAGACTTAAGACCTATGGCTGCTACGGCCAACTTGTGGAATCACTAGAGGACAGAAGGAAGTTCCAGTGGTGTGATCTGTAGGAAGGTGCACTGCTAACCCAGAGCTGGCATCTTTTGTTGGTGGTTCAAATCCACTAGCCTCTCTGAAGAAGAGAGATGGACAATCTCTTTTTGTGTGACTTATGGTCTCCAAACACCCACTAGAGGAGTAGCTACAAGTTCCAATGCAAAGGCTATAAGGTTTTTATTGAGAGGACAGAGTAGAACTGCTCCATAAGGTTCCCCAAATTGTACTCTTTATGGAAGCAGTTTGCCACATCGTTATTCCATGGAGCAGCTGGATTTGAACAAGCAATCATTCTGTTGGCAGCTAAGCACATAACCATGACTCACTGCACCACTAGAGACCCTTATTCTCTGTTAACAAAATCAAAGCCATTGCCATGGAGTAGATTCCAACTCATAATGCCACTAATGCACAAAACTGAGCTATCCCACACGTAATGTAAGGCTGTACGTCTTTATGGAAGCATACTGCCAGGTTTTTCAGTTGCAGTATAGCTGGTGGATTTAAGCTCCTAATATTTCATTTAGAAGCCAAGCACTTCACCACCTCACCATCAGGGCTCCTTAACTCCCTGTTCAGAAACAGACATTAAGATTTAAATAAGAACAGAAAAACAATTGAAACTATCAATAAGACCAGGAGCTAGTTTTTTAAAAGGGTCCACAAAATTGACAAACTGCTGGCAAACTTAACAAAAGGGGGAGGAGAGGAGATACAAATAATTAAGAAATGATAGAGCTGACATCACAACAGAACAAGATGAAATTAAATCTATAATAACGGAATACTATGAAAAGCTACACTCTGATAAATTTAAAAAACTAGAGGAAATGGACAAATTCCTTGAAACTCATGCCCTATCCAGACTGACATGGACAAGATGTAAAACACTTGAACAGACCTATCACAAAAGAAGAAACTGAACAGGTTATAAAAAAAGACTTCCCCATAATTCAAGTCCTGAACCAGATGACCTCACAGCTGAATCCTACCAAACATTCAGAGAACATCTATCACCAATCCTACTTAAAGTATTTTAAAAAATAAAAAAAGAAGGAAAACTCCCAGAGTCACTCTATGAAGCAAGCATAACCCTAATACCAAAACCAGGCAAAGATATTACCAGGTAAGAAAACTACAAACTAATTTCTCATGAAAATACATGTAAAAATCCTTAACAAAATCATAGCCAATGGAATTCAAAATGGACATCAAAAAAATAATTCATCATGATGAAGTAGGATTCATAACATGTATTCAAAGATGGCTCAACATAACAAAAACAACTTAATTTACCGCATTAACAAAACAAATAACAAGAACCATATGACCTTAGCAATTGATGAAGAAAAGGCATTTGACAAAATCCAAAACTCCTTCCTGATAAAGACACCCTGCAAAATAGGAACAGAAAGGAATTTCCTCAATATAGCAAAAAGTATACATGCAAAACCAAGAGCCAATATCATTCTCAATGAAAAAAGACTAAAAGCCTTTTTCCTGTGAACAGGGACCAGACAAGGATGCCCATTCTCACCATTTCTATTCAATATTGTATTGGAAGTGCTTGCTAGGCCAATACGACAAGAGAAGGAAATAAAAGGCACCCAGATCAGCAAAGAGACAGTTAAACTATTGTTATATGCAGATGATGTGATGGTGTGCACAGAAAACCCCAAGGACTGAACAACAACAACAAAAAACTATTAGAGCTAGTAGACCAATATAGTAGAGTGGCAGAGTATAAGATCCATATCCAAAAATCAGTGGGGTTCCTCTACAGTAACAAGGAGACCTCAGAGAAGGAAACCAAGAAAACAATACTATTTACAATAGCCAACCACAAATTGAGATACTTGGGAGTAAACCTAACTAGGGATACAAAAGCCCCATACAAGGAAAACTATAGAACATTCCTATAAGATATAATAAAAGACCTAAATAGATGGAAAAGTGCTCCCTGTTCAAGGATAGGAAGACTCAATATTGTGAAAATGAAGATTCGACCAAAAGCAATTTACCTGTTCAATGCAATCCCAACAGAGATACAAAATTCATTTTTTAAGAAGACTGAAAGGGAAATTGTCAAATTTATTTGGAGAGGAAATACCCCACATAAACAAAGCACTTCTGAAAAACAAAAATGAGGTGGGACGCATAGCACTCTCTGACCTCAAAAACTACTACAACAGCGGTAGTAACCAAAACAGCATGGTACTGATACAACGACAGGCACACAGACCAATGGAACAGAATTGAGAACCCAGAAATATGGTCAACTGATATTCAACAAAGAAATAAAACCTATAATATGGGAAATGATAATTTCTTCAACAAATGGTACTGACAAAACTAGACTGCTATGTGCAGAAAGCTGAAACAGGATCTACATGTCACACCATACACAAAAATCAACTCAAGATGGATCAGAGACCTAGGTAGGACTAAGGGGAAAAGCATAAAGTTCATCAGAGACAAAATGGTATTAAGCTTAGATGGCCTAGTCTCTGGTATAAAGAGACTGTCAAATACAACTAGAAATGCACAATCTGGAGAGGATAAAATTGATGAATGAGACCTTCTAAAGATTAAATCCTTGTATACATCAAAACATTTTCCAACAGAGTGTAAAGAAAACCTACTGACTGAGAAAAAAAACATTTGGCAATACCATTTCAGACAAGGGTCTGGTATCAAAAGTTTACAGAATCCTACAGGGCCTCCACAAGTAAAAGACTGATAATACAATTACAAAATCACCAAAAGACATGGAAATACTTCACAGAGTAAGATATTCTGATGGCCAACAGGCACATGAAGAAATGCTCTAAATCACTGGCAATAAGAGAGATGCAAATCAAAATCACAATCTCACTCCAGTAGCAGTGGCAAAATTTAATAGGACAGCAAGTAATAAATGTTGGAGAAGATGTGGTGAGATAGAAACACTGTTGATGGGATTGTAAAATGGCACAACTACTCTAAAAGATGGTTTGGGCACTTCCTCAGAATGCTAAACATAGAAACTCCGTATGACCCTGCTTCAGAGAATGAGAGAGAATGAGAACTGAGACACAAGCAGAGACTTGAACACTAATGTTCATAGCAGCGTTATGCACCATTGCAAGAACATGGAAACAGCCTAGATGTCAAACCACAATTGAATGGACTGAGAAATTATGGGACACTTATATGATGGTATATTACACAGCATGCAGAAGCAATGATTTTGTAAATTGCTACCTAACTTGAGACGGATTGGAGAGCATTATGCTAAGTGAACTAACTCAGTACCATAAAGGCAAGTATTGTATAAGACTGTTATTGCAGAATGAGTATGACATCCAAAGAGAGGGAAGAGAAGGAGCAGAGAGCAGAGGATGGATGGTGGGAGTTGGGTGTTAATCATAGGATCTCACAATCTGATGGATGGGGAGAGTAAAGAAATGGGAAAAATCCAGTGTGAAAAACAATGTATACAAACTTTGTAAGTAAACCAGTATAAGATTTAAATAAAAAAATTTTAAAACCCCAATCAATAAATATCTAATATTACTAGCATTTTCTTATTAATTCTATTTTTCCCTTTCTTTTTATTTTCTTTTTTCTTATTAATTCTTAACAAATAAACAACCCAAACAATGAAGACCTTGTTGAGGGGAGAAAAAAAATCTACCTCATCTAACTGGACTTAAATTACTAGTGGAAAAGTACCAACAAGCCAATACAAAGAAGTCAAAAGCCTAAGTGGTTGGTCAGCACTCTTCTCTGAGGCTATATTAAGGTGCCCTGATCTTGTCCTTAGAAACTACCCTATTAGTTTTTTAAAAAGTTGGAAAAAAAACCCCCAAAAAACACCTTTAGAAATTACCCTAATGTTAACAGCAAAGGCCAAAATGCCTGCAGCTTTTTGTTTCACTAGAAAATACTCTGATGATTTCTGCGGGCACCTGCACTGGTCGCCCAACCTACTTGATGTGTCCTGCCCCTGCAGTAGTAAGCTGCTCATCATCTTCAGGGTTGAAAGTTACTTTAAAAACATCCTGGGTAAAAGCTTTTGTCCTCAGCATGGGCTGTTCTTCTTTCCAATTCCAGATGGTGAATGTGTAGTCAGGGCTGCTACCAACAGATGCCAGCAAGGTGCCATCATAGTTGAAGTCGACATAGGCATATCCCAAGTCACAGCCATCTGGAAGGATGAATGTGAGTCTAGTGAACAGGGGGACTGTTTCATTTTTTGTCAAAAATGTATCCAAAACCCCCATAAAAATAGACAGGGAAAAAATGAGGGAGGAAGGGAGGAAGGAAGGAAGGAAGGAAGGAAGGAAGGAAGGAAGGAAGGAAGGAAGGAAGGAAGGAAGGAAGGAAGGAAGGAAGGAAAAGGAGGAACTTCTTATTGAGAGATATCTCTACTGGTTTGGTTTCTTTGAAGAACCATGGCTGATACAATAGAGTTATATTTTCAGAATTTTGTTAACTTTGAACATGTAGTTGTTGTTATGTGCCATCAAGTCCCCTGCGACTCATAGCAACACTATGTATAACAGCTCTAAACCCTGATCTATCCTGAGCCAACCTTATTGTCTACCCTGGTTACCCTAGTCACTGAGTCAACCCATCTCATAAAAGGTCTTCCTCTCTTGTGCTGTCCCTCCACCCTCTCAAGCATGATATCTCTCCAAGAACTGGTCCCTCCTTGCAACGTGCCCAGAGCATGTCAGACGGAGCTTCAGAATCCTTGCCTCCAAGGATCAGTCTGGTTTCACCCTCTCCAAGATGAACCTATTTGTTCTCCTAGCAGTTCAAAGGCATCAATTCTTTTTCTATCACCTCTAGTCATTGCCCACTTTTTGATGCATAGCACATAATTGCAAAGACCATGGCCTGGATTCTACAGCACTCACCTCGAAGGACTCTGTATGGTTGTAGAGAAGGATATTCATATATGATGATATTTGGAGAATTTCCTTTTTCAGCTACTGTGAAGTGAGTTTTATAGGGGTGAACCTATTTAAAAATAAAATAATACTAAAATGTTAAGATTTTCCATATAAGTCAAAACTCAAACTCAGAGTCACTGAGTCATTCCAATTCAGAAGGATATTAAAGGGTAGAGTAGAGCTGTACTGTAGAGTACCCAGGGCTGTAAATCTTTACTGGCTTCCACTGGAAGGAAGCCTCTACTCAAAATAATTTAGTTCTTTTTTCTTATTTTTCATACTGAGAAGGTTGACACAAGATAAAATAGGATTCAGGTCTGTTGCCCATACAGTTGCTATGGGTATTACTAAGCTCACTAGCCCCTAACAACATGATGGGTTGGTTTCCTCCTGGCACATTGATTATTATTTCATTCAACTAAATTTCCATCACTTCAGCTTGAAAGAAGGTTCATTTTTTTTATAGAATGATGAACACTAGGTGAGATAATAATAATATTAAGAAGAGCTAACATTTATTGAGACCTTACAATATGCCAATGATCTAAATTTTCTATTAATTCTCTTAAATTTTACATCAGCTTGGTGAGCTCTGATACCACCATCATTCTAATCTTAACTGAGGCATCGAGAGGTTAAGTAAATTGCCAAAGGTCATGTAAATTTTAGAGATAGGCTTCAAGTCAGGTGCCAGAGTCAGGAGGCAAACTAGAATAGTTGATCCCAAAATGGTAAGGGGATGTGGATTTTGTCCCTATCTGTCTAGATCTCAATTTCTAGATGGATATTGCTGAGGAAAGACAAACGTTTTACTGAGCAAATGAAAGACACTTCCCTTACAGATATAACCTACACATTCACTGTGCCCCCCCCACCCCCCACCCAAGCGCGTATGTCTTGTCTCTTCCCTTCACTGCTACATCACCCTTCCTTGCACTCCTGCCTAGCTGGTCAAGCCCTCCCTTCTCCAGCCACCTCTTGATATGATAGCTTAGTCCACAAGTCACTTCTGTTTTTCTTGCACCATGCACTGCTACTGGTCTCTCATGCTGTTGTCTGTCTTACATTTAGGAATCCTCCCAAGTCCCATGTCCCAACTTCAGGGAAAGGACAGAGTTCAGAGATGCTGTATATAGATTTGCTATGGGTCACAAGCGACTCAACAGCACATAACACAACACTGCTGAGGATCGGAGGTATTCACAGATACTTGAGTAGGGAGTCAGGCAAATCTTCACTCTCCAGGAGACTGGTTAGTCTTGTTCGCAGTTAGTGAAATAGTTCTTGACCTTTCAGATTGGAAGCTGTGTTGGGTGTTTTAGTTGACTTTCAATAGAGATCTGAAACTAGTTAAATAATTTTGTTTATACTTAACATAAACTAATTGCTCTTTTCTGTAGGATAGGATATATACTCAAAGCATATGTTACAGTTTTGAAAAAAGTATTTTTGTCAGTCACAACAAGGTCACTGCTTTAAAAGAGATGAGGTGACACAGACAACACAGCAAAGTCCCCCAGGATTATCCAGGCACTGGAAGAGCCAAACACGTGGAGGAGAGGCCCTATGCTCACAAAACTACTCAGAACCTGGAGGAGGAAGGTTAGATTCACACAGTTGATAACATCAAGACTCTACTGCTTTCAAACCAAATTGTTTTATAAGAACATAGAAATTCACAAATTATTACTAGCCCTAAGAGAACAAACAGGTTTGTCCTGGAGAGGATGAAATCAAGTTGCTCCTTGGAGGCAAAGAATTTGAATCTCCATTTCATATACTTTGGGCATGTTGCCAGGAGGGACCAGTCCTTGGAGAAGGACATCATGTTTGGAAGCGTGGAGGGTAAGCACAGGCGAGGAAGACACTGGATGAAATGGATTGACACAGTGACTAGGGTAATAAGGGTAGGTGTGTCAGAGATAATGAGCCTGGCTCAGGACAGGACAGAGTTTACAGCTATTGTGCATAGGGTTACTATGAGTCACAGGCAACTCTACAGCACTTAACAATAACAACAACAACAAATAATAAAATGATACTCTGAAGGTGGTCTGTATATCAGGACTCATGATATCCAAGATGTTACTCTGACTGTTCCTCTCCACAAGGCCTAAGATGTCCACCTTGGGCTCATGGATCTTGGCACACAGCTTATACATTATCATGTACTTGTAATGTGGTTATTGTCTCTCTAGATTAATTTCAAACTCTTTGGATTCACAGAGATCATCAACTCCTCTTCACTTAAATCCCTCCCAGTATAGTTTATATAAAACTAAAAAATATTACATAGCATAATATAGATTATTGATCCTGCTGCTTGAACCAGAACTGTATGTCCAAATTATCCTCTTTTTGCTAACTCCTCTCATACAATCTAATCAGAACAGATGACTCTCACAAAATGCCAAAGATATCAAGAGGCATTCCTCAGGCCTCAACAGTTAGGCTGTTAGTTACTAAAGAGAAAAGATCTATTGACACCTCCATTTGAGATTATATATATATATATATACACACACACACACACACACACACACACACACACACAGAGAGAGAGAGAGAGAGAGAGAGAGAGAAAAACACACCAAGGAAAACTATCAGTAACAGTGCAAACTGGCATAGAGAGGGCAAGCAAGATAGCCTTAGATCGGCATTCTTTATATTTGACAACTAAAAGTACCATTCCAATTGAGTTGATGGGAAGAGACAACAGAAGCTTGGCTTTGAAGGAAAGCTCATAAAGAAGCAAGAGGAAAGAGTTTAATAAGGGTACACTTTTAAGATGTTAAGCAATTGATTCAGTATGTTTTCACATGGAGAATTTTGGTCAAATAAAATTAAAGGGAACACATAAAGATGGACATTAATTATATTAGTGAGCTGAGATAAACTAGTATTATCCAGTTTTAATTAAAAACATCAAATGATCTACTATGCTGGGAATGACAAATTGAAGAGGGATGATGTCACATTCATCATTAAAAAAGAATACTTCAAGATCCATCCTAAAGTGCAAAGCTATCAGTAATAGGCTATTATTCACATAAATACAAGGAAGACTTGTTAATGCAGCTACTATTCAACTAAACACACCCATCACTAACATGAAGCATGAAGAAATTGAGAGTTTCTTCAAGCTTCTGTAGTCTGAAATTGACTGAACATATAATCAAACTGTAATAACACCTAGTGACAGGGATGCAAACCTTGGAAAAGGAGGAGGATTGTAGTTTGGAAAATATGGGCTTGTGACATAAATGGGGCCAGAGACCCATGTCTATTATTCTATCATCAATTTTGTATGACCAGTGATTTAAACATTGCAAATACCTTTAAAAATAAAAACAACATAAATCCCAGCTATACACATGGAGCTCACCTGACAGAATACACAAGAATCAGACTGACAACATCTGTGGAGAAGTTCACTACCAGTCATCAAAACAACACCAATGAAGGAGCTCTGGTGGCCTAGTGGCAAGACGCTGCACTGAAATTCCAGAGGTACATGGTTCAAATCCACCAGATGCTCTGCTGGAGAAGGAGGGGGCAATCTCCTCCTGTACCAGTCAGATCTGATTTGACGGTACACGTAAAACAATACAATTTAAAAAAAAAAACACACCAATGGGTGATTGCAGAACAGAGCATAAATTACTCACATGCAAGTTCTAATTGAAATTGAAGAAAATTAAAACAAATCAACTAAAACGAAAACATAGTCTTAAGTCTATCCCACTTGGGGGGAAAAAAGCTCAAAGATAGAGTTGAGGCACCAAACACTAACAAACTAAGACTAGCAAGCTGTTGGATGGCATAAAGGAAATCATCCATGGAAAGATCAAAAGGTTGTTACAACAGGAAAGAAAATACCAAAATGGATTTCAGAAGAGACTTTGAAACTTGTTCTTCAACATTGAGAAGTTAAAACGAAAGGGAAGAAATGATGAAGTAAGAGAGTTGAATAAAGGATTTCCAAGGGCAACTGAAGAAGACAAAAAAAGTGCAAAGACCTAGAGTTAAACTAAAGGAGTGAAACATGTTCAGCATTTCTTGTCAAGCTCAAAGGACTGAAGAACAAATACAAGCTTCAGATTCAAGAACCTGAACAAATTCAAGTTGTAACACTGAAGAATGGCATCTAATAACAACATAAGTATTATATGAAACATCTTTGCTGAATTAAACAGGATATAGATTCATAGAGTTCGTGTTCAAGCAGCAATTTCCTATCAGGTGATTAAGAGGGTTTCTAGGAGACTCTATGGGCAGAATCTTGAACTATACAGGAAGCATCCAAAAAAAGATAAAAAGAACACACAGAATCATTGTAACAAAAAGAGTTTGTCAACTCTGAAACATTTCAAGTAGCAGCATATAATAAGAACCAAGGGCAGAAAAGAAGATCAAACTGCTTTGAAAGCACTGGCTAAAATTAAGGTCATGAGAAGTGATGAAATACCAATTGTGGTATTTGAGCAAACACATTCTGCCCTACAGGGGCTCACTAGTTAGTCTATGCCAAGAAACTTGGAAAACCGTAACTTGGCCAACTGACTGGAAGAGATACATATTACTGTTCCAAGAAAAGGTGACCCTCCTCCAGACTAGAAATTATCAAACAGTATTATTATCAGACGTGAGTAATATTTTTCTGACGATTACTAACAAATGACTAGAACAGTAAATTAACAGGGAACTACCAGAAATTCAAGCTGGACTCAGAAGAGGCCACGAAATGTGGTTTCACTGCTGACTCTGATGAGTCTTGGCTGGCAGCAGAGAGCACCACATGTTTACAATGCTTTACTGATAACCTAAAAGCTAATCATAATAAATGTGGGTCATTTCTAAATTACACATAGATGATAATAAATTATGGATGATTAGAACAAAAATTGACACACATCTCATGTGATTCCACAATTCTGCAAAGGCTACAGACGCTACAAACTAGTCAATAGAGAAAAAAAAATATCCATCAACAGACAGATTTCCCCCCTCACCCTCCAAGTTACTAAATGCTTTTATACCCCAATGGCACCAATTCCACCACCACTGGTACTTCGCACGTAGATCTGTTCCTTGGTTTTCAAATCCAGAAGGATCAGCTGGTTTCCAGCAATGTACATCAGTGTACAACTGTCCAGAAGTTGTAGGTTGGCCCGCCTTCTGCAATCATAACCAAAGGAATGACTAAAGAAAAGTCATTAAGGAAAAGAAATGAAGTAACCACTTTAAGATTAGGGAAGGTAATGAAATAAGGATACATTTTAAGTTTGTACAGGGAAAGAAAGTAGTGATGCAAGCTACAGCATGGATAAACGTGGAAAACATCATGCTGTTTAGATTTTCAGGAGTTGAAATAATTGAATTTTACATCTTGAAAGCTGGAAGTTTTCATAATGTATTTTAAGTACAATTTTACTTTAAAGTCATGTGACAATTTTCTTTCTCTAATTAATTTTTTACATTTCCATAGGGGAAAATCTGAAAGCACAATAATTTGCAATAAAAAATGATAAATTTCTATCTGTGTATTATGCTAACTAAAGCTGTCACTTACATTTTTCCTTTCTCTATCCCATTACACCTAAATCATGTGCTAAGATGTGGGAAGAGTCCCTGTTATTACCACCTTTATATTCATAGCGTGTGACAAGAAGAACCATGCAGTATATTTTTTTTAAATGGAACATATCATATAGGCCTCTTCTTTCATGTTGAAAGTCAGAATGTTTACAATTCCAGCATACCATTGATGATTATGATAATAAATTAATATATTTGAAATTGGATATCTATGTAACTCAAATTCATTGCTGTTGAGTAGGACAGACACACAGCTGAACTTCCAAGGCTGTAAACCAACCAGGAGGAGAATCTCCGTCTTTAAAACCAGCTGAGACACCTGACCTGTACGTTGGCAGTTCAACTCCCTGTGGGTTACTCCACCAGAGCTGCCTGATACATGGTGTACATTATGTAATGAAGAATAATTAATATACAGTGTATGTATATATGTACTCCATATAGTAATACACCACACTTATATGTTATTGTTGGGTACCACAGAGTCAGAACCGACCCATAGCTGACACTCCAGCAGGTTTGCAAGAGGCAGTTAATCAAACAGGAGGAGATTTTCCATCCTTGTCCCATTCATATATAGGATTATATTAAAATTAAACTTAAAAGTAGTTGTAATATACAAGCATACATATATAATTGTGTGTGTGTGTGTGTGTGTGTGTGTGTGTAAATATATATGGATGTGTCTGGATAAGTGCACATAGGCACACACATATAAGGAGTTCTGGTGTGCAGTTCAAATTCACTGGTGACTCAAGGGAGAAATCTAGACAGTCTCTCACAAAAGATTTAGAGCTGTGGAAAGTGATGGACTGTCAACTATGAGTCGGAATCAACTCAAAGGCAATGGATCTGGTGTTGAGAGGGTGGTTGTATATATGTAAAATACAGAGAATTCTGGTGGCTTAATGGTAAGGCCTTAAACTGCCATTCCCAAACCACCAGCTTCTCCACATAAGAAAAACAGGATATCTCTCCCTGTATCTCTGATTCTCATCTCTAGCCTCTGAAAACCCACCAGAGGGTCAGCTAGGAGTCAGCTCTGACTTGACAGCATATAACAACAACATGTAAAATATAAATACACAGTTAAGTACATATGCAAGGAGTAGTCTAACATTTCCTTTCTGAGCTTGTTAGAGCATACATAGACATTATACGTAAGTAAATATATGCGTGTGCATTTGTGCTATAGAAACTTTGTTGTTGTTGTTGTGCCATTGAGTTGGAATCAACCAATAGCTGAGTCTCTGGTGTATTTTCAGAGGCAGTTAATTGCATCAGAGGAGATTGTCCATCCTTCTACACCGGAGCAGCTGGTGGCCTTGAACCATGTTCCTTGGGGATTGCAGCACAGCTTATTGCCACTAGGCCACCAGAACTCCCTGTAGAAACTTTACTATTCAAAAATAGATGTTAAGAGATTTGTGGTATAAAACATTCTAAATATATGTTATTACCACCTGTAAGTGAAATATTAACATAATCCAGCATATAAATACAATCATTAAATGAATTTGCCAACAAAATTGCATTTCCAAAAGAACTCTATTAAGTAGCAGTGCATGTGAAGCAGAAATTCTTACACAGGAATTTGCTGTTGGGACTCAAAAGCTGAAAGAACATGGGTGAAATATTGGGCCCTTGTTCTGATTTTAGAGGATTCCATCTGTTTGTAAGTAATTCAAAATCTTCAGAAAAAAAGAAGTCAAATGCAACTTCCACTAACAATACATAAATTGAAAAAGATTAAGACAATGCAATATGAATTTTAAAGTATATACAAATTATAAACAACTACACATAACCTTGAAAGCTGTTAACTGGCTGCTGTTAACTAACTGGCTGACGGGTTGAGTCTATCCAGAGGTGGCTGGAAAGAAAGGATTGGTGACCTACTATTGGGAAGCCAGCTACTGAAAACATTACAGAGCATACTTCTATTCTGACTCATATAGAGTCACTAAGTTGGAGTCCACTGGATGGCATATGGTTCTTTATGTTATACATAACAAAAACATTACTTAATAGTTAAACTATTAATTGTGGTTGTTGTTATGTGCCATCGAGTCGTTTTCGACTCATAGCGACCCTATGCACAACAGCTCTAAACCCTGCTC